GCATCCGCAACCCTCTCAAACTCATCCGCCAGCTTCCTCACCCTCTTCCTCGATTTCCCCTCCCTCGCCGGCGCCGCAACCTCGTCGGTTTCAGGTCCGGGTTCGGGCTCGGACTCCGACCCGGACTCTTCCTCCAGCTCAGCCTCATCCAGCTCTCGGATCCTATCGGATCGGATCTTAGACGCTTTGATCTTATCGGATCTCCGATGCTGGGCCCGGAGCTTCTTGATGTTGCCCTCGATGCGGCCTTGAAGGCGGAGGCGCTGCCTCGTTGGCCTCGACGAGGGAGCGGGTCCATCACGGGTGCGGGGTCGACCGCGATAGGCCCGAACTTGTACGTCGGTGTAGAAGCGAGGACGGGGAGGCTGCTGCCGTAGAACCCAGAGCGACCACCATGATTTTTATTATTATTTTATTTTCTTCTAGAGAGAGAGAGAGAAAGAGAGGGGATTGAGAGAGAGAGAGGAAGGGGGGGTTTATTTATTGGGAAGGGGAGAAGGAATTTGGCGGGAGGAGTTGGCGCCGATATTTTGGCGGGAGGGAGGGGAAATTTTGGGAGGGAGGGGAGGAGCGCGGGGATGGTTGAAAAAGGAGCGCCACGGTGAATTTGGGGGGGATTTTTGCAATCTGCACCTTAAGGACTCGTATATTTCCCATTAATTATAAACTTCTAACCTTTTTACCCCCTTTTTCTTAGTATTTTTTTGCAAATACACGGTATAATTTACCAGGGCTCCTATCAAAATCATTCTTATATGTATAATAGCTATATGATCCTAGTCCTATGACTATCGGTGATTAGTAGGTGTTCGGTATTATAATTTACTTTGCGGTTATTGAATGGTAAAGAAACCGAGTTATATTTGTGAAGAATACAAATTTATTTATGATTGCTTTAATTACTACCATCCAGATGTTTGAAATACCATCGCCTGCTTTTCCGGGAGTTAAATGGGCCTTTAAACAAATTTTAGCTGGCAAAATAACATGCCCCTTTATGTAGAAAAGCTTCGAACAAATATTAATATGGGGGCCCATATCACGTGATAAAGAGTTGTGTGATGATGATCTGTGGATTCCGGTCCAAACAAGGGTCTTTGTCGAACGCTTGCTCATGAACAATAACATTATGAGGTTATAGCACCTAATCATAATATATGTATACACATAATATTAATCCTTCAAATAAAGCAAAAAAGGAAAAGGGAAAAAAAAAAGTGCATCATAATATTAATTCCTATGCAGTTAATGTTCATCATAGTCGTCCTTCCAGAGTATCAAGGGGAAAATAAGAGGTGTATCGTTGCAAAATTCTAAAATTTAAAATTTACTTAAACGGTATTACTAAGGTGCAAACACTAAACATCACTAAAGATAGTCAGAAATCACTAAAAACGATGGATGTATATTATACATGCACCGTACAGATTTCAATTCTTATATTATTGGAATTACAGATTGTATGTTAATTTAAGAATTGATATGTTTTTAATGCGTCGTCATTAATATAATGAAAACCGATTACATTGCTTGCTTGACATCAAAGATTCAAAGGGTTAACCTACGCTGCAGAAAAAAAATCAGCAGCCGATGCACTGAATTATAGCCTTTTGCCAATTTCATTCTTTCTTGTGTATAGTCGATGCAGTTTGAAAATATCTCTGACCCACTTAGAGCAAGATCAGCTGGTAGTTTCAAATTCATAATTAAAGTAAGTGATAACTATCATCCTCGATTGATTAAATAAACTATATTGTAGCAATCATAACCAGTGAGTGATAAAATGTTGTATCTAGGCCTGTCCATTGGGGCCCAAGGCCGGGTTCGGGCCTGGCCCGGATCTGGGCCTAGACTCGGCGGAGAAACGGGCCGGGCCGAATTGGCTCAGCAAGGAAACGGTCCGGGCCGGAACGGCCAAGCCCGAGGCGGAGAAACGGGCCGGGCCGAATTGGCTCAGCAAGGAAACGGTCCGGGCCGGAACGGCCAAGCCCGAGGGTCAAACGGTCACGAATGGCCGGGCCGACCGGGCACGGCCCAGTCCCGGCCCCTTCCGAACAGCCGTAACGGTCATTTTTACGCTTTTGACCAAAATACTCCCAAAAAGGTCAAAATCTGAGGGTATTTTGATCATTTGTAACTTCTGATGTTGATTGTGAAGGTTGTTGAACTAGAGCTTTCATCGGTTGTTGTAAGGAAAAATTTGTAAAATAGTCTGTTTTTGCTAATTATTTAGCAAAATAGATCGTTTTGCTAAATAATTAGCAAAATAATCCTTTTTTTGACCAGCAGGTCAAAAAGAGGTCTATTTTGCAAAACAACTCAGAAAACATACGGGACTAGTAGTCCCGTATGTTTTAATCACGGATTAGTGAACTCAAAAAATTTCACAAAACATTGAGATGAACTCAGAAAACATACGAGACTACTAGTCCCATATGTTTTCTGAGTCACTAATCCGTGATTAAGTTGGCTCTAAACATACGGGACTAATAGTCCCGTATGTTTTCTGAGACTTGTTTTTCAAAATCAACCTACTTTTTTCAAAAGAGGTCTATTTTACTAATTATTTAGCAAAACGGTCTATTTTGCTAAATAATTAGCAAAACCGGACTATTTTGCAAAATTTTCATTGTTGTAAAGGTCGTCAGATTGTAACATTCATCGATCTACGTGAAAGTCTTCAAATTATAGCCTTCTAAAAGTCATCAGATTGTAACTTTCACTATCGATGTTTGATAGGGGATCAACTATCTGCAGTGATTTTTAGACAACCTACAGCCTCCTAAACGACCTACTCTTCTAAATAGCCCAAGCGTAGCCCGAGCTCTGATACCACTTGTTGTGCGCTGCGGAAGCCAAACAATCAAATCAACGTGCTACGAGAAATCAAATTAAACGAACGTCGAGAGAATGCCAAACAAACCAAATCAATGCCACAAACACAAATAATCAATTTTAACGTGGTTCGACAAGTTGCCTACGTCCACGGGGTAAGAAGGGGATAGAGTTTTTCACTAATAGAGAAGAAGAGTACAAACTGAGATTACAAATCACTCAAACTCATCAATTAATCTCACCAATAAATATCTAATTCTCTCCAAATAAAACCCTAATCAATAGCTTAGAAAAAAACCTCTTTTCTGTGCTCCAAAATATCCCCAATTTTCTTCTCAATTCTCTCATCCAATTGTTTCATATATATAGAAATCCTGAAATCATAAACATACTAGGAATTCTAAAATAAAAAACAAAACAGATTAGGAATCTTAATAACTTGTTACCAAAACAGATTTGAAAATCATGTTACCAAAACAGATTAATAATCCCAATAACCTGTTACCAAAACAAATTAGGAAACATATTAGGAATCTGCTACCCAACTATTCAACTCACGGAAAATTTACCCAATACTGTCTCGCTCTGTCTTACTTTAACAATATGTTTACGATTCTCTTTATTTTGAGAGAATGTATCTGAAATGGGCTGTATAATAATAATATCAGAAATTGAAAGGAGAACACCTCTAAATTATCAGCTGGCAGGTAACCAACATAAATTTATCTTTGAGGTTAGTATCACGTCTCCAATCAACTATTCAAGTAGATGCTCAAAGTTTGTCTCTCAATTGAGTAGAGTGAAAAATCATAAGTCACAATTCAAACTTAGTTCACGCAAATAATCCAATAGTTTGGTCCAAAGAAACATTGTTTATTCATAGTAACGACTACGAAACTTCTTTATCTCCTACTGACTTGAGAAAATATATTTCCGTTAATAGACCTAAGAAACTAACCTTTGAACTTGGCTTATTAATTAGGGAAAATTTGCAAAATAGTATGTTTTTGCTAATTATTTAGCAAAATAGACCATTTTGTTAAATAATTAGCAAAACAGACATCTTTTGAAAAAAGAGGTCGATTTTAAAAAATAAGACTCAGAAAACATATGGGACTACTAGTCCCGTATGTTTAGAGCCAACTTAATCAAGGATTAATGACTCAGAAAACATACGGGACTAGTAGTTCCGTATGTTTTCTGAGTTCATCTCAATATTTTGTGAAATTTTCTGAGTTCACTAATCCGTGATTAAAACATACGGGACTACTAGTCCCGTATGTTTTCTGAGCTGTTTTGCAAAATAGACTTTTTTTTGCCTGTTGGCAAAAAAGAGGTCTATTTTGCTAATTATTTAGCAAAACGGTCTATTTTGCTAAATAATTAGTAAAAACGGACTATTTTGCAAATTTTTCCTATTAATTATCATCAGCCAGTTGGCTCTCTATACAGTATTATAAATCCCGAATTGGCAAGAATTCCTATTTCTAATGAAACTGTGATTATGAATTGAATAAGATGCGTTTAATCACATATTTTGTCCATAAGGGACCTAGATTGGGAATTCTTCATCCTTCTTTATAAATAACTCCTTGGACTCGGTATCAAAATCATAAGCCTACTTACAATTATTTTTTCCCCTGCTGAAAGTGAAGGAGAACAAATCACTAATTTTCTCCGCAGTTAAATGTGAAGATCGGATTAATTTCATGGAGCTTTCAGGTACACTATATATCTCTTACGTTTGTGATTTATGAATGAAGTAGTAACATGGAGTTTATTGCGGATGAATTAATGCGGAAGAACATGAGATTAAAGAGTGGGGGGGAAATTTCTAATCGCGGGAATAATAGCTTTTAAATCTCTTGATTAAAACATATTAAAAGAAAAGTTCCATGTTATATCCAGTTTTGCATATCGCGATATTAAATTGTGATTATTACCTACATATATTGGTTTGTTTTCCCACGAACATGGCTTAATCACAAACTTTCTTTAGGCTCAACAAGAGTGTTTTGATTCACACATATCTATATGAACAATAAGAGAGTTAAAAGGGGGAGAAAATAAAAATAAGAAGATTATAAGTAAACAAAATATAAAAGCATCATTTGCATTGTTTGGCCGCAATAAACAAGTAAAGAACAACCGATAATTTAATGTGATTTTTTGTTATCGACATAAATAAAAATACATGGAGGAGATTCATTGAAATTTTATGATATATTTAATTTTCATGTTCATTAACAGATGACAGTTTACGTGAGTTATGTGTAGAATATAATATTTTTAGCACTTTAATAAAAAGCGTAAATTGCAAGCGACCCCCCTTACTTATGCATTCAATAAAATTTATCTCCCCTTAACTATTCTATTACCAATTAATACTTTTATATCTGTAATTTAAAATGAATGAATTGTGGTTAATCTCCTCTCCGTCATGATTTTCTTAGAGTTTAATACTAATAAAATAGTTGTGAGATGAGGATGATATCTAAAATTTATCCTTGATAAAGTACAATATTGTCACACTAAAAAGAGCCATAACAAGAAATTTGTGCAGCGATATTTCTAGTTCAAGAGATTTATCCAATTACGCAAGTATGAAACTTAATAAAAGCCAAGAGAAGGAAGGAATCTCGTACTCATCCGCTTGCGGCTGTATTTAAATAAACCGATAAATTCAAGAGAAAGAGTCCAAATCCGCGTCGAAATAAAGCTAAATCCATGAGGCACCGCATTACGCCATAAAATATTAAAATATTATTTTTCGTCATAGCACCGTTTAACTTATCTTGTTAGCAATGAACAGTATACCAACAACTTGGGTATAAATCAAAGCAAGTCATTTTATTTTTTTTCTCTATTCTCCCAAATCTCTCCTCCCTCGATTACGGCGAGATTTTGGCCCTGGATTCCATCCCAGCGAACCGAAGGAGGTTATGCCGAAAGGCTTCAAGGTATCGAATTGATCTCGTTATCTTTTGATTTGTCGGATTGAAACCCTAGATTTTGAGCTCAAATTTAGCGATTTCGGTTGTGTTTAGGGATCTGGCTGGTGTTGATCAGTTTGTTTGAATTTGATTCAGATACTTAGAATTTTGACTTAGTGTTAGGGTTTTGGATTGGAATTTGGTTGTGGATGATGATGATTGGTTGGGATTAGGGTTTCTAATAGGGGGAGCTAGGGTTTACTATTCCATGATCTGATTATATGTCTCTTACTATTGAATATCATAATTTTAGCAATTTTGATGGTGTTTTAGGGATTTGACTAGGGTTGATCAGATGGTTTAAATTTCATTCGCGATCCCTGAATTTTGCCTTAGTTTTTGGGTTTTGTATTCAGATTCGTTTATCGGATATGAAAAGTTTATTTGGGGCTCTGATCATTGGATCTAGGGCTCGATGTTTGAAGACTCTATCTTGGAAATTAGAAGTCAGCCAATCTTCTTTAGTTGATCTTCTGAGTTATTTCCCCACCCTTTATTAAGAAGAGAAAGGTGAAATCTGTAAAGGAATATGGTAATCAAACTTTGTTTTCAAGCTTGACGAGCTTCATCTATGGTTTATTTGATTATGTGCGCTAATTTATTGTCGTTTAATGCAACAATAGGGGTTACTGTAGAAGTTAGAAGTCTTAGGATTGAGATGGGAACTGACACCCGAATGTGATAGTTGCTTAAAGTAATTTTTGTTTGAATCTTCAATCAGTAGCTTTTTTTTATTATCGTTCTCAATCTTGTTGCTAATTGTTTATTATGTAATCGGCTTGTCTTACTTATCAAAGTCTCACTTTTTTCTGCCAATATTTGTAGAGTGGTTATCTCCTCTATTGTAATTGTACGTCTACTGTTTCAAAATCCTCATTCAACGCTGTATAACATTATCATCTTTTGTTGCTTTCTCAGGCCTTAAACCTTTGTTTTCCGACGGCCGTAGCTTTCTTACCTAAGATATGGAGCAAATGCACTTTGGGACAAATTTCTCAGCATGCAGGGTTTTATCATTCTGGGAAGTTCTTGACTGGCGGTTTCTTGTTCCTGGGGACTTCCTTCTCATCTCCTTCGTTAACTGCACTTAGAGATTTTTCCATGATCATCAAGAGCAGCCTGATGCTGCCTTATAGTAAAGTTGGTGCTGGATCTACTATGAACTACAAGTGGGTGATTTCATATCACTTGTTATATAAGAGGCTCTTGCTATAGTTTGCAACTGATTGATGTCTGTTTGCAGTGAATGGCCAACGCATGTTCTGCTTGAAGTTAATTGAAGTCTTGACAGTGTCCTGCAGAATATCTAAGGTGTGCTTCAGGACTGGGCTCAAGATTTATGCATATAATTTAGCACTTCTAGAAATTTATTTGTTTCTTCCTTGTCCAGGTTTAGGTACTTCTGTGTTATAGTTGGTGCAATTTCTCATTTTAGCTAGTGGTGTCTTCCTCCTCTTCTGTTTCTACATTTGCTGGTTGCTTGACGGGTGTTCAAACCATCAGTGTTCGTATGGACTTGCCATAGTCATTTGGAGCTGTGAAGATTCTTCTGCTTAGATGGGTTGCCGTATTTTTCCTTTGATATTGGCTAAAGTGGATCATAGTTCCTATGCGGTCCTTCAATATTATTCAAGAAATAAGATGTTGAAGTGCAAATATCAGAAAAGCTGTCAGATTGCACTTGAAGCCCCTGTTGATTTGTATTACTTCTAGTTTTCCCTTTTAAGCATATACCTCTTGTCAGACACCAAATACTTCTCGTATTGGTGTATTTGTACTAAATAAAGACTGAGAGGTGTACTTGGCGTCGCTGGAGAAGATTGCACTTGAAGCCCCTGTTGATTTGTATTACTTCTAGTTTTCCCTTTTAAGCATATACCTCTTGTCAGACACCAAATACTTCTCGTATTGGTGTATTTGTACTAAATAAAGACTGAGAGGTGTACTTGGCGTCGCTGGAGA